GGCCCTGAGGGCAAGCCTCACAGGTGGCAGGAGGGGGGAGGAGCAAGGAGAGGAGTCAGGAGCGGGGAGGGGGGAGTTCTGTGGGGGTGACAGGTGACAGCGAGGAGCTGGCTTTGGAGGTTGGATCAAGTTATGAGTCCTTACCCTCAAGGTACTTAAGAGTTCAGCGGGGAAGACAGAAGTTAATAACTAAATATACAGGTGACAAATGACAGTTGTGCTAAATGCTGCAGAGCCCAAAGGGTCATCATCTTGCTGAATGGCTCAACTCTATTTAGTCCAAGAGGGTAGCACAGGTCTGAAAAACTAAAATTACATTTTGCTAGATCAAGGAGGGACGGCAGGGCCCACCATTTATCCTGGCTGCTTTTGTGGTGCAAGCAGTTGGAGAGAACCGGCAGACTACTAGAGGCGGTTCACACTCACTGAGGCCGTGGCGACAGCAGAGCTTTGTGGTCCCAGAATGCCAATCCGGACCTCTGCTCCTGATGGCTGTGGAGTCGGGGAAGGTGACACTTACTGGGCCAGCCATCCTTCCCTCTAGGAGATACCCCGACTCCGAGCCTTAAAGGAACTCTGTGAGAGAAGTGGCTCTTGAGGACAGAGTCCTTTGCCCCTCAAATCACAGGTACGAGACCTGGGCTGGGGGCTGGATCGGGCTCAAAGGCAAGAAGAGAGTTATTTTCTGTTAACTGCCTTCCAAAGCAGATGTCAAAATCAGCAACTTTTTTTTTTTGCACGAAGGCTCCATGCCAAGTCACTAGTAGAGGAATATACACTTAACACTGTTGTTTAAACATTTTCCCAAACACCCCCACGGCACGAACTGGCAAAGCTGCGACGGATCCCTCACTCGGAAAAATGTGGCTGTCGCTGAAGCGTTCAGCCCGCTGCTCCCATCCCGAGGTCGGGCCCTCCCTGTCCGGAAGCCTCAAAGCACCTGATACTCCACACGCATTGGCCCCTGATGTCCTCTGATGAGCACATTCCTCCTTCTCCCAAGACATGGCGAGCCACTTCGGTCAGAGTCCTTTCTGACACACGGCTTCTCCCTCAGACAGACCCTACTTTTCTGTTAAATTATGTTACTA